TTGCTTTATTCCATACGTGTTACTGGGGGTGAATAAACATACAAATGTACATGTACGTAGTATATACTTTGGTATTCTGTTAACATCTAATATTTCTGTGTGGTATTTACCACATTTGTGACTAAATAATTATATAATTAGTTTTTTTAATGTCTACCTCTCCTGACTGGAACTTTATGATGACAAAGGTCATGTTTAGCTCTCTGCTTCCACACACGAGCACATGACTTAAGTATTCAAAAACTATTTATTATCTGGTTCAATGGCTAAATGGACATGATCAATGATCCTAAATGTTGCGGAAAGGTTAAGGGGAATGAGGACTGAAACCACAGCATGAGTTTGGTGGCTGCATGGTCAGTAGAGATCTTAGTGAGAGAACTGAGGATGCTGAATGCCTGATTTCCCCTCAGGAGGAGAGGACTGAACAATGAACACGGGCTATCTTTCAGAAGCTGAATTGTGCAAGGACAGAGACAAATCTAGTATACTCTCTTTGTTCCAACTTTATATCCTTTTTCTTTATATTTGGAAACAGTGAAAGGTCATACAGAATACATTCAGAGGACCCAAGCAGATGGTCAAGCCCAATGTTATCTCTAGTTGAAACAGTATCTGATTTCAAACAATATGACAATCTTCTAATACCACTTATAGACCGCTTCCAAAGGCGGTTCCCAAACAGGGATAACAAAACAAACACATTTTGATAATGGCAGCAACATTGAAATTAGCTATATCTTCCCAAGGTGACTACCTTGAATAAATGCATTTTTGGCTATAAATGCTCTAACATTTCCTTTCTTTAAGTTTTAAAGTCACATAAAGTGGGGAGAAGTAGCACAGCTTAGAATAATGCTTTTCTAAAATGTGTTACACACTTTAGGGTGATTTGGGGTAGCATGTGAATAAATTATATGTTCACTATGTTTTGGTTTTTATGTATATCAGAAAAAATCTAGCTCATCAAACTCATATATTACAAAGTGGTCTTGATCAATAAATTTAAATCATAAATTTTAAGTTTTAAAATACAAGTTGTTTTAAGAAACATATTGGGTAAATAATACTTTTATTATAGCAAACATTATCAGGGTGGTATGTAAATAATTCAACCAGAACAATTCATCAGAAACCCTAGTATAGGAGATGGCAAGTGTGAGTTTCCAGGATCTACAGACCTGAATTCAAACCCTGTCTCTATCATTTGTTACTTATTGAAAACCCTGTAAGAGTTGCTTAACCTTTATGAGTCTCAGATTACTCATCTGTGAAGTGAAAATTAACAATACCTACTTCTCAGGGTTTGTCCAGGAATGAAACAAAAGCAAGCATTAAGGGCCCCAGGGAGCACCCTGGGCTCACTCAGCAGTAACAGTAATATGGCTGATGATCCAGATTATTCACATGTTCAGACACAAACTCAGCCATGTGGCCACTTGTATAAATGTGCCCATTTATTCCAGTTGACCTTTCTTTTCCATCTGCAATACATGGAGCTGCAAATGAGCACTCACTGGGCTAGAGAGGAGGTCACCAACCAAACAGAAGGCACAGAGGACAGCGGGAGTCTGGAAGCATTTGCAGCAGTGCCCAAGTGCCCAGGACAAGTTGGGGGCACAGAAAGGATCCTGGAAAACAAATCTGTGTTCCAACAGAGGTGTTACCCTCCTAAGAGAATGCAGTGGGTAGCGTCAACTTTATAATTATTAACTCAGACTCTAAACATAAAAAGCTAAATGACCTGTGCAGAATGCAAGCCAGACAGTCTTATCAAGAATGAATCAGGCTCTTTGATCTTGAGGTAAACCAACTCGCTACCATCAAGCTTCCACCTGGGGTTTTTCCAGACACTAAAGTGGTTGCCTAATTCCCAGCTGTCTGGAGTTTCCAGTCCAAACTGGTCTTAGAGAAAAAAGTCCCATCAGCTCATTGGAGTTCACACTCCATTAAAAAAATATTACAGATCCATGCCACTAATCCAAAGGAACAGGGGTCCAAAAAATATTTTTAAGTAGTTCAAAACAATCCATGTACAGTGAAGAGAAATTATTACACTCAGTTGGGAACTAAACATTCAAGTATAGAAAGAGAAGTACATGAAGTAAACACAGAGAAGGGAGGGAGATCGTCTGGGGGAAGTCAAAAGTGAGCATTAAAGAATATAAATAACAACATGGAGGAGGTGGATGGGGGCTGAAGACCTCAGTGACTAACAGAGAGAAGAAGGAAGAGGAGGGCAGCTGAGCAAGAGCCATGGTGATCAGAATCTCTCATTGCATTTCCAACCTACCCACCCAGAGCTTATCTGCGCTGCATCATGAATTAATCAGCATGGAAATCACTCCCTGCATCTGTGGAAATTGAATTTAGCTGCCAATCCTGATTGAGGGCACGGAGCCTCCTCATAGAAAGATCCAAGCTTACAGGGAAACTGCCTTTTCTTTCCTTAAATCAAAGGTTGTATAAGCCTAGGGAAAGGCTGCAGCTGGAGCCACAGACTTTGTGAAAGGTGGCAGGCTAAGGGAGGTAATTATAATTAGCAGTTACATAACATATTTGTTCATCAAAGTGCTCTAAAAGGATCAGATAATTAATAGCTTACTATGCCCCATGCAGATCCACTGGTTTTTCGTGTAGTGACTAATTCTGGTGCCCCCACTAAATTCTGAATGGTGGAGACAAAGTAGCTTGGGCAATGGAACAAATAGCTCAGAGTCTAGAAACCAAACCCAGCTCTCTTACCATGTGGCTCCATCATGGTAGTTTCCTGTCAGGAACACTTCTAGGGGGCAGCAAACCTCACTTCCTCCAACTCCTGGAAGTGCCATGAAAGATGCAGTGATAGGTTGGCGTGACCATCAGTCCAGTCCAGTATGACCTCAGCTCTCTATTTCTCCAATTAGTAAGCCTAGTACCCTGGAGTCCTTGGTGAGGCAGGCAGAGTGCCACTGGGCTAAATCCCCGGCCCAGAGGCAACTCTTTTTTTTTTTTTTTTTTTGGTACCAGGGATCAAACTCAGGACCTTGCGCTTACGAGGCAGGCGCAGGAACCACTGAGCTAAATCCCCGGCCCCCTGGAGTCCTTGGTGTTTGTTACAGGTTTGCCCTTGATTCTCTGTGCAAGTCAATGAGACCTCTCTAAAAGGGGTTGAACTAGATCTCTAGATTTCCATCCTTTGCTTTCTATGATGGAAGTCTCTGGCCTACATCCTTTTGCATTTATGACAGAGATAATTGATTAGGAATTTTATGGCATAGTCAGGCCTCCCACAGCAAAGCTGAGTTTCCCATTTTCTCCAAGGATGCTTCATCCAGGGCTTCAAGGTCCATGAATGCCTTGAACTTCTCTGCAAAACTATGTACATTTATTTGGGGAAAGATCTGTTTCTCCTATTGCACCATAAATTCCAATGAAAAGTACCTCACACATACTGCACACTAAATAGATATCTATTGAATGAATAGATTTCATCAAATTCCTATCCCAGAAAGTTATAACCATTGCTCTGTGGACAAATAATCATCACAAATCCAGTTGGTCTGCTTGCTCTGGTTAAGCTTTCCCGTGGGAAAGCTTGGTGGCAAGAACCAAGATCTTCTGCCACAATCCTGCTACTAATTAATCCAGAGACTCAGAGCAAAGCTACACTGAGACTTTACTCTTCAGAGATCTGTCTTCAGGGCCAAGCAAGTCAATGTGCAGAAATATTTTCCCAGAGCCATTGGAGACTATATGACAACCACTTGTCACACCCTCTGACCAACTCACAAATGGTAAGAATTGCTCGCTCCCTTTTTCCATTTTGCCTCTTGGAGGCAAAGAAGTGAAAGCACGTGTAAAGGCACACTTGTTCAGATTCATGAGATCTACACGAGTGCAATAATTCAGGAAAAAACTAACATGCACACAGTGCTCTACAAAATGCCACCACAGATGATCTCATCTGATTTCCTCTCAACACTCTTTAAAAAGAAAAACCAGACTTTATTTCCCCCTCTTATAGATAAGGAAACGGAGGTTCACAATGCCTAGCAACACTTGCCTACTACATGGCACTACTAGAAATTGAACTGAAGTCTCAAAACCCCTCCTCACTAGCAATTCCACTTCTGAATATCTCTGAAAGAACTGAAAACAGGATATCAGAGATATATCTGCACATTCATGTCATAGCAACATTGGTTACAGTGGCCAAAAATGGAAGCAACTAAGTGTCCATTGATGGATGAATGGATAAATAAAATGTGACATATACATACAATGGAACATTACCCAGGCTTAAAAAGGAAAGAAATTCTGACTTATGCTATAACATGGATATACCTTGAAGATATTATGCTAAATGAAATAAGCCAGTCTCAAGAATACAAATATCACATGACTGTACTTATATGAGATACCTAAAGCAGTCAAATTCATAAGAGACAGAAAGAACAGCAGAGTGCTAAGGGTTACAGAGAAGGGACAATAGCAAATTATTGTAATGAGTACAGAATTTTAGTTTTTGAGAGATCAAAAAAAGTTCTGGAGATTGGTTACACAATAACAAATATATATAACAATAATACACACTTAAAAATATTTAAGATGGTAATTTTGGGGGTTTTGTGTGTTTTACCATGACTAATTTTTTTAAAACATGAAAAAGACCTCTCTTTTATAGTACATCAACTTTTCTCTGAAAAGCTGCCTTGCTGTTAGGATTATGCTCCTCTGAGAAAACAGTTCACGGAGAAAAATTTCTCAGCCAGTCAAGCAGGGGAAACAAGAATTACTGTGATTTATCTAAAAGATAGATGCCAAAAATGTTCTATCCAATTTATCTTCCCAACCCACTTTCTGAATCTTCAGGATTGAGCTGACATACCTAAAGCCAAGTGCCCTCCCAGGTAAAGGGCAGAGTTAGGTGCAGGGCACAGAGGGAGGGAGCCAGCAAATGGTTTGACACCCATGCTTTGTTACCAGGGAACAGGAGCCCACCAGGGAGGAATTGGTACCTATACATGTGAAAGTGCTTTCTCTCCAGGTGCCTTTCTCTGTGCAAACAGAATCGATCTTTCCTCCAGGGCTCTCAAAGCCCTCTTGGCAGACATAGTGAGCCACACCACCCAGGCTGGAGCTGTGATTCCCCACCAAGATGGCGTTCTGTACTTCCGGAGGGCTGCCACAGCGGATCTCTGCAATGAGAAGCAATCCATTAGTCCCCACTTCTAACCCTACAGTTAATAATCTAGAAATATACATTTAATAATGATAGAGCCCACTCATCTGGGAAAAGATAAAACACTAACTCCAAATAATCCAAATGTAGGCATATAAAATAAGGTTGTGTTCAGAAGGACAGAAAATATATGTCTGAATTTAATGAAATTTCCAAATGTGCACACATAATGAACAGTCAAATTATGAGATTAATTATTATAAAATTTCCTTGGTCTATGAAACAATACATCTTAATGTTCTTTTAAACACTAAAACATTCTAACAACTTAACACTAAAATATCTAGTATTTTTACTATGTATCTTCAGATCATTAACTCCAGAGTAGATGATAATACAATATCATTATCAATCACTGCCAACTGAATACTAAATGAAATATGTACAAAGCCAGGCACGGTGGCCCATGCCCATAATCCCTACCTATAATCCCAGACACTTGGGAGGCTGAGGTAGGAGGATCAAAAGTTTGGGGCCAGCCTGGGCAACTGAGTGAGACCCAGTCTCAAGATAAAATTTAAGGGGGAGGGGGTATCCTGGAGATGTAACTTGGTAGTTCAGTGCTTACTTAGCATGCACAAGGCCCTAGGTTCAATCCCCAGCACAGTGGAAGGAATGAATGAATATGTGCAAAACCCATGAACATCTTAAAGCCAAATAATGGAGGAAGAGTTTATTTTCTAAACATTCAATTATATATATACATATATAATTGAATGTTCAGAATGAATATATATATATATATATCAAAGGAAAAAATTAGTTGCAAAGAGGGAAACAAACCAAGAATTACAAAACTGATATGAAATTTCTTTACAATTCTGACTACTGACAATGGACTATTTACAGAGAACTATCTGAAGAAGAAAGATTACCATTTTAGACTCAATCAGACTACATGTAAGAACACAAAAAAACTCATTTTCAAATATGTTAGAATTGTTTAAAATCTGTGTGTTTACCTTTTTTGGGGAAAAAATTCAAAAATAACCCCAATATAACAACAACAAAAAAAGAATCAGAATAAACATCCTAAGAAAGCACAAACAGGTCTTAGAAGAAAAACTAATGAATAATGAAATTGACAGGGCCGGGGATTTAGCTCAGTGGTTCCACCGCCTGCCTCACAAGCTAAGGACCCGAGTTCGAACCCCAGTACCAAAAAAAAAAAAAAAAAAGAAATTGACAGATAAGTCTCATAATCATTTAAATGGGTTTTCAAAGCTTGATATAACTACTATCAAGTACAGGAGCTTGTTTATTATAATAAAAGATTCTAGAACTAAAGGCTAGACAATATAAAAAATTAGTAACCTGGAAATAAAATTTGAAATTATTTCAATAAAACCTGAGCAATAAAGTATACCGTTGAAGTAAAGCATGCTGAATTAATATAATAACAAGGAGCTCATGGATACAATTTTTCAAGAAAGAATCATAAAAATCATCTCATATAAACTGAGATGGGTGGGTGTAATAATTCCAAATATAACCATTCGTCCCAATTATACCCGAAAATAGGAGGAACCTTATAGTCCTCACTCAGATTTTTAGTTTTCTCCCCAATCTACAGAAAGCCAAAAACAGAACAAAAAATGAAGCACTCCTAACACCCATGTTTTTAAATTAATTTACTGAAATAAAGCATTCAAAATAGGAAGTGGTATAATCTATTCCTATTTCCCTATTAACCATTGTTCCCCTTAGAAACAGGTGGTTCTCTCAAGTTTTTGACACAGAGTTAGTGGATTTAATGGGATTGCTCCTCTCCACCTCAGCTTGGTTTATTGCAGGACCCCAGAATTATTTCTGTAAAGGAAGAATCCCAGATCTACTCTTACCTACTGCCACTGGAGTTACCATAAGATCCTTAATACAACAGCCCAACCCACTTGATCAGTTTTCTGGCTCTGAGATTAAAAGAAAAAAAAGTGCGGGGGGCAGGGAGCTCTGGTCAATACAGAATTAAGTCATAAGCAGTCATGAGACTAAAATAAGGTGATCAATTCCTTAATCTCCAACTCCACCTCTGTGTCTCATGTTTGTTCACAGGGCTTTTTCCTCTTTTCAGACATGTTTACCAGACACAAGACCTTTTGCCCTTCATCATGTTTTCCCAGCACTAAACCTTTAGACATACTCACTGGCCCAAAACATTCTAAGACATGAATATATTTGTGTGTACTTGAGCAACCAACCAAACAGGTGGTTAGTGTTTTAGAAGACTACCTAGTCATTGTTGACATCCAAAACATTTTCTAGTTTAAGCCAGGCTTCAGTTAAGTGGGAAACAGAGGGAACATCAGTAAAGAGCTTGAAAGTACTGGTTTATGTACCCTTGACACTGCTCAGTGGAGACGCTGGAGAGGGAACCTGGCTGCAGGTAGCTGGTATCATCTGTTGGTAGAAGTGCAGATACTAAAAGAGTAAGTGTATGGAAGACAACTACACTGGCTTCCATCTCCAGTATTGTCAGGAATAATGGAAGACACAAGGACTTTAGTTGGGACTGCAATAATTTTTTTTCAATTAATAGCAATAATCACCTGATTGATGAGTAATCACTGGCCTGGTCTCCAAGGACTAAAGTTCAGAGGCTGAAGGAGATGTCCCATTAGTGAGGGGCCTGGACATGTAACTCCTTGAGTTCCCAATACAGAGCGCTTCAAAATGGACAGTTCCATGACAAGAGGCACTGAGAGAATTCCAGCACAGCCTGGGTTACACACATGGTTCTAAGTAACAGCTGTACATCTGACTCATCTAGGGAGCTTGGGAAAAATACACACACTGAAGTTCCATACCCACCCCTCCCAGGGATAACTTTTCTGATTCAGTAGGACTGTACTGAGTTGATATCTTGACATCCACATTTCTACAAACTTCCAAATCTGATTTTGATTTACATCTTTATCATCACATGTATTCAGTAGGGTCCTAAGTATAAACCATTACTATTCACAGTAACTTCATGGTAAGCACTGTGTTTCCCATTTTACAGATGAAGATGATTCAAATGATTACATGATACCCAAAGGCTCATGGGAAGTTACGGATGCCCAGGCGTTGCTCCATCTCTGAAATCCTGCAGTCATGGCCCCTCCCATCTCCACTTACTCTCTTCCTCCTGTGCTCACCCTCTCTCTCCACCACATGCACTCCTCCTTCAGATAAAATCCTCCTCGGTGCCCGGTGCCGACTCTGCTCCATGACTGAGTCATGAATAATAAAAGCCCTCTGAACCTCTGTGGTCCATTCTAATTTCTTCACTTATTCACATATTTATTGACCACCTAGTACATTAGTCACTACAGCAGTGAATAAAATGGACAAGATTGCCACCCACATGGAACTTAGTGAGTCAATAGGCAAAAAAGTAAATCAACAAAATAATTTCAGGTAAGATAATGTGATAGGATAGGACTTTTCAAATACAGTGGTCAGAAATGGTTTGATCTGTCTGAAGAGGTATAATATCTGAACCTAAAGATGAAAATGAGCCATGTTTAGGAGCACAGAACATTCCAATGAAATAAACCAGCCGATGCAAAGACCCTGAAAGAAAGACAGAGAGAGAGAGAGAGAGAGCTCTTGGTATGTTCCAAAAAGGGAAAAGTGACTGGAGCACAGTTAGCAAGAGGGAGGGGACATGAGATGAAGGAGACAAAAAAGCTGAACCAAATCACACAGGGTCTGTGTGCCTTAGGGAAAAGCATAGAACTTGTTTTTTACAGTAACTGATTGCCCTGGGAGGGTTTTATGCAAAGGAATGAAATAATCTGATTTAGGTTCTTAAAAGACCACTTTAATTAGTGAGTAGAAAATGGATGGGAAAAGAACAGGAGTAAAAGGAAAGAGACTACGAAGATCCTAGCAGTTGCCCAACAGCGAGATGATGAGGTCTCAGGGTAGAGGTAGAAATGGAAAGAGGAGGACGGATTTGAGGTGCTCTCGAAGCAGAACTGATTGATTGGCTGTGAAGGTGAGAGAAGGGGTAGAATCAACAATGAGTGTTATCTCTACTTGACAATACAGTAAGTACAGTATAGAGTAAGTATTGTCTATGCTTCATAAATTTTTCTGTATCATTCATTTGCCCTTTACTTCCTGCCTTGAAGATTTAATGTTTTTATGGTATAGTATATCTTTTCACATATATGGACAGTTCCTAAATGAATCTTTGTCTTATAATTCTTATATGCCCTACATTGCCTACTCAAAATTGTGTTCTACACAGTAGATACTCAATACATGGTTGTTCACTGGTAGCTCGCTACTCGTATCATCACTGGTCAAGATGCAATGGATACTACTTTGACACACAGCCCTTGTACAAAGGAAACAGAAACCACTAATTATAAGCATAAATAACAAGACAGAACATTACTTCTATATTTGTTATACACCAGAGGTAACTCACATCTATCAAACACCAAGAAGATGAGAGCCAAGAAAGAAGCCCCACAAAAACTAATAAATATCAGCCTTATACCAGGGAAATGTAGGAAACTTGATCAGGCCTTAATAATTTTAATAATAATAGCAGTCATTGAAATCTTGTACATACAAAATAGTATGCTAGATATATACTACCTTATGTATTTCCCACAGAAAACCATGAAAAATAGATGTTTTCTTCCCAAATAGTTAACAGATATAAAAATGAAGGCCCTAGAGCTTAAAGACCCATCCAAGAGACATACTACTGGGCTGGGGATTTAGCTCAGTGTCACTGTGCCTGCCTCAAAAGTGCAAGGTCCTGAGTTTGATCCCCAGTACTGGAAACACACACACACACGATTACTAAAAGAGCCAATTCAATTCAAGGGCCAGGGATTTAGCTCAGTGGTTCTGCCACCTCCCTCGCAAGCACAAGGTCCTGAGTTTGATCCCCAGTACCAAAAAAGAGAGCCAATTCAAAATGTAGTTTATGGGGTCCCAAAATCCACATCTATA